CCCCAGGAATATTTCAGGATGAAATAAGTTTTACCCGTTTCCGTAGTATAAGTTTCCATTCTTGTTTTGACAACACACTAACTACAGAAACTATTGTAACACATTACAGCATTGTTTATGCTATAAATTTTGTGAAACAATATGACACCAGATGATCGCACACTCTTCTCCCTCATGCTCTCTTCTTCCTTCCTAGTTAACCTTTGCGCTCCATTCTTCCCGCCCCTTCACCTTAATCTAGAGCACTGATTGGACACCCAACATGGACAACACGATTGGCTGAACAATAGAAATGTCAAAACAAAAATAATAAACACCCCATCAACATAAATATATATTCACAACCATATACATTATAATGTGCACATAATATATGTATATATAACTATATAAACCTTTTAAATTATTACACCGGGTTACACCATGTAAACACTCATTACTCGTAATACTTTTGTATCATATTATTTTATATTTTATAGAACATCAAAAAACATCCTGGCATCGTGAGACATTTAGATGCAATGTAATGAAACATATTTCAAAATGTTTCACTTGGTTTCATACAGTCAAGAATTATAGTTTGGTCAAAGTCTAACTAGTAAAATGTGTACAAGTTACATCACAATAACGCAATAACAACTAATAAGAAATTACTTAAATGATCTTCTCCACTGCTCAAGCAGCACGTCGTATCGCATTCTTCTTGTAAGGTAAATTCTGGCTTATTCCTCACAGTGCGTCTTCTTCCAGAAACAAAAAGTAGCTGAGATGAACTTGATGAATCTTCAGATGTGATGTGGGCGTTTACAGTTTTGCGCGTCTCACGTGGATGATTACCGTATGAATAGCGGTTAATTTTAGTGACGCGTTTCAGAAAGAAGTTTGACGAGACTGAGACGGCTGAAAGAGCACCCTGTTTATTTTCTTTATTTTACAAAAGCACATTGTTTTGTTGATATTGTGAGTGTACTCAAATAAAAGTAGACCCTTCACAGAGTCAAATGATGTATTAAACTTATATGTATGATCAAAAATGACGGAGCATTGTAAGTTATTTTTGCTGTTATCAGGAAAAAATGCAAGTGCTCCCGCCGGCGCCTTTGCTGACCCCAGGGGGGTTAAGATTCGATCAGAACAGTGTTGAAACAACACACAGAGCCGAATTCCACAAATAATCACAAGACATGGATGATTGTAAATCAGATCCTAGTGCCAACAAGTCTGAAGCAAGTCTAGCTAGCAGATTTGAACAACATTAAAACAAATAACACTTATTGATAATTCCAACTCAGGAAGGAGATTGTCAAAACCAAGATTAATGGTCAAAAAGACAGCACATCATGACCATCACATGTAAATCAATAATAGAAATGACAAGCTAAAGACTTCCTCGGATTGACTTCCCCTACCCAGGACAAAGACCAGACTTCAGCCCCTTCCAGAGACCTTTTTGACCTTTTGTTCCTCACAAAACATGTCCTCACATCCAGAGAACGACACAGAGACTGTCTTTTACACATGTAGGTGCAGCAAAATTATGTTAAAAGGACTTATAAATGAATATCATTGCATTGCATAACTCCATATCATGTATGTAACCCACACATTTGACTATCATGTTCTAATCATTCATTGTGTATGTCCTTTGAATAACTATTGAGTAGTTTATCAGTTTATATTGAGTAGTTTATCAGTTTATATTCGTGTTTTGTTCAGTGTTGTATGTGTGCATTTGAAAATCTCCTCAAAATGTTTCTATCAATCAATTCTTTGTAAAATGTATCATATTCCTGTTATAGAAATCATGCTTAAATTCAGACAACGTGACTAATAAGATAACATATTGATTATGTATATGGAGGAGAAACATAGCAACACCCCGAGTCAAGACCATGTCTAATTGGTTAAAACACTAATTGGGATGTCTAACAGCCGAGTTTAAAAACTCAGGACACAAACAAAAAACTGCTTTTTGCCCCTTGGGCTTTTTGCCACTGCTTTTTGCTGCGCATTTGTCACCCTTTTTGGGCTGTTGGACTTCCTGGCCTGCATGCCTGCTGCTCCTCAACCACCATGAGGAGGTAAGCCATACAGTCTCATCACACTTTTCTTCTTTTCTTTCTTTTACTTAAGTTTCTTTTCTTTTCCGTAGAGAGTTTCGTATTCTGAATTAAGTTGTGCCACTAAGCTGTGTCTTCAAGTTTGCAAGGGAAACAGGTCAAATTAGCTCAAAGAGAATCATTTAACATTTTAAAGGGAATTTGGACAGAATCACTGTTTTACGGCTGATCACTGAGACGGCCAGCGATTCATTGAACGAGCCGTATAACATCAACTCTGCAATGGATATTAATATCCAAAATTTGGATGGAAGTTCAGTAGTCATTGAAGTGACGTCTTGGGAAGCCATTGGTTGGGCGTTGGCTGAAGATGCAGAGTTGTGGGTTGGTTGAAGTTTTGAAGCGGTCGGTCACAGACTCGAGGTGAACTCGGAGACACGGAGTTGCGGCAAAACTTAACTCAGAACACGAAACTCTCAACGGAAAAGAAAAGAAATTAAAGTAAAGGAATAGAAGTAACGTTTGACGAGACTAGGTGGCGTTTCTCCTTATGGTTTTGGAGGAGCAGCTGGCGTGTAAGCCAGAGCACGCTCAAAGAGCGCTAAAAAGCAAAGCTT